TTATATTGTAATAAGATATTTTCCAAGTTAAATAATGAACCTGCTTTTTGTGTGACTATTAAAGTGTTGCATTGAAAAGTATTTTGTGAACTGGATGCAGGATATTTAGTGTGCTACATCAAGCATATTAAACACAACCTATATTTTTGCGACCCAGTCAATATAATGGTGAGAAACGTTTTAATAAACATTTTGTAACTTAATATTTACAATATTTTTTGTGTTTCATATAAATTAAATCCTGTTTATTTGGTAAAGACATGCTTGTTCTACATGTATTTGATAAGGTTTCCAATCGTTGGAGAATACGTTCATTCCGTACTCATTACTCGATACTTGACAAGTATTTAGCAAATAGCAAGGTCTTTGTACAGGCATGGCCTGAGGGTCCATTTCGTTTAAAACAGGGGACAGATCTTCAACTTTTGGGGCTCAAGACAAACACTGTTTGGGAACTAGGTAATAGTTAAGTAGATGATGTTCGTGGATAAGAGATGCACCAAATAGGGCTCCCCATTGTCGTGGGCACTTGTGCTTTGCAGCAGCTACTGCTGAAAATGTGAGTTCATCAACTATTACTATATGGCTCCTAAGTATTGCATTGTACAATTTAGTTCCATTATGACAATTTTTTTTTGTAATACTGTTTTTTTTATCGAAATCTTTTGCATTTGCAAGATCATGCACAAAATGTATTTAAAGCAGAAATTTTAATCTCACTAAAAAATATTTTATTTTTTGTATTTATTTCTGATGTTGACGTACTGCAAAATATATGTCAAAAAGTTTTGAATTTGGATCATCTCGTGACAGTTGACATTCTAAATTTAAAAAAATATAGGAACCTTAAAGCAGCGGTCTCCAACCTTTTTGACCTCATGGACCACAAAACTCCAAATATTAAATCTCGAGGACCACTAAAAAAAAATAATCCCCGGGGTTGGGAACTACTGCCTTAAGGAACCCATAGGAATGAATATAAACATATGAAAACACTATAATATTCCAATTAGATCGTAATTATTATTAACAATTCTTAATAAATTACTTTCATGTCAATGAATTATATAATGAAATTTATTAATATATGTAACTCAATAAATGAAAATATCAATAAAAAGAACAAAATTATATTTATAGACAAGATCTAAATCTATTTCAACCTTCCTAAATCTGCTATTATTCTCATACTCATAAATAATGAATCACTATCGATCATTTAGTATCCACATAAAAAGTAATTGTATAGTACGTTAATGAGAGTATGTACATAATATTAATATTAATTTAAAGTTATCGTATAAATAAATAGTTCTAGTGTCGCGTTTAATATGTTTATTTTTTATTATTCTCTGGAATTTGAATTAACATTTAACGTTTATTTATTATTCCCAATAACAAATACATTGTTATTTGCTAATTTAATCTCATAAAAGCAATCCAGTTTTAATCTCAATGAAATTTATCAACTTTTATTTCTTTTTGTATGAATGTATTAATAAATTTATAAACATTAGTCATATAGTCAAACTCAGACAAAAATGCTGTTATTATATGGCAATAACAGCATTTCAATGTCCTCATGATTTATCAGGGGTGGATTTAGGTAAAAAAAAATAATGACAACTTAATACTATGATTAATTTAAGGTACCCCAAATAGTGTTAGAACAGGGACAAATATTAAAGCCTAAGGCCCCTCAAGATAACTTTTCGGCCACTGCGATTTATTATAAATAATGTTTAACTTTATGCATCCAATCAAAATGCCTAAGAAATTTTATTAGGACTCCACGGTTCGTCAGGAATAACCAAATACACGAAGATCTTCATACAGATATGGTCGAGGATACAATAGCAACATTTAGTAGTAGATACCAAGATAGACTGGAGGCACATACTTCTGTTCTGGCTATTGGCCTACTCGACAACAGTGAAACCACAAAGAGGCTGAAGCGTTGCAAACCACTAGATTTAGTATATAGATTTAAGTAATTATTAATGGTAACTTATGATGATTTTGAACTTCTTAATTTACTCTATGTTCACATTGATGAACAGATTGTGAATAAAATTATTACGACATAAAAAAAAACTTTATACATCAAACATGAAAAAAGCGGAATAAACATTACATATTGGAGTGTTGACAATGAGAAACGATGTTTCAAATTCTGCAAATTGCAATAATTGGTATTTACAAATAGTAGAAATAAGTCCGTGAAGATAAAAAATAATAATATAAATTATACGAATAACAAAGAACTAAAAAAATATTTGATATGTGACTACTTGATTATAAAATATTATTGGATGGGAAATACATGAGTATTGTTCATGTACTATTTCTAGCCGACAAAACAAAACGAAATTTTGACGTTGAAAATACTGGTAAATCCCATATAATTCACAATACATCAACTACCTCAGATTTTATTCTTTCCAATTATATAAAAAGGTAATTAATCTTTTAGTGTTTTAAAAATTCGCAGAAACTATACACAAATAAACTGGAGATTACGAACAATTATGATCATTTCCGATAACCACGCAACTTTTTTTTTCTTAATTATTTCTAACGAGTATTTAAAAAAAAACAATAGTTTTTCCACTTTAGTTAATAAAAACAACAAACATTTCGATTCGGTTTCAAGATCACATAAAATTAAGTTATCAACAATTATTATTTGTGATTAAGACTTAATTAGTTCACGGTTATATATTTTTTGTATTTTGTTCTAAAAGTTTTTTTTGGTAAAATTAAGTTATATAATTGATTTTTTTTTAATCACTGTTTTATTTTTCTAATTGTAGACGTAAAAAGTTATTTGTTTCATAACATATTTTTATTCAATTAATTTACGTGAAATGAATTAATTTATCAATCAATGAAATAACTACCACAATCTTTGCAACCCATTCACTGAATTTCACACTATGTGAACATATGATAAATATTTATTATTATGATGGAAATGCGTGCTGCATCTCAATAAACTATTTCTATTTTTATATCTGTGTGTTTTCATTAGAAGAAAATGTAACTGTAATTCCATAAAAAAAAAATACGTCTTTGCATATATTTAGATATATTAGAGAGAAATGTGCATGTTGTAGAAGGAAACTATTTTTTATTCATAAAAATATTCTGTTTACTATTATTGTGGAATATTAATACGATAATACCAAACATACTTTGAGAGTCAAACTAGTTAGCGAATACCGTTTCCTCATTTAAAATTTTTTAAATGAATATAATACGATATTTTTATGAACAACCTTGCATCAAATGAGTTTGTGTGACTACAATTTCTTTCAATACATTGTTTTCTATTTATTTTTATAAATAATCATACCCATTAGATGTTATCTAGAAATCTAACATACTAATAAGTTAAATTTGTGCATAATTTCCTATCTGTTTTACTGATTAACATATTTCT